TTTTTTTTTTTTTTTTTCTATTTCAAACAAGGCTTCATTCAGTAAACAATTTGCTGCTTGCAGGAGTGCAAATGTCTCTCTCGAGTATGTTGGGGGAGAATTGCCTGATATTTCAATGGTTTCTACTGAGGGCTCACTCAGGAGCACCTCAATTTACACTTGAGCTAGCGCTGTTTACACGCAGACATCTCCCGCAGCTTCCCCTGCTGCTGCTGGGATCAGTGGCTGTGAGGTGGAGAACACCTCACACAGGTGAGGCGTTGGGCTCTGTGCTTTGGTAGGCGAGGCAGGTAGAAGGTCAGTGGGAGCTGATCTTTGTGTTTGGGCAGCTGGCCAGGATCCCTGAGAGCCCCGCACCTTCTTCGCTCCGGCTTTCTTCTCTTTACTGTCAAATCTACTTCCTTTTATTACCGAGGGAGCAGAGGCAGCATGCACTACTGCAGTATATACGTCTCAGGTGTTCATCACTGAGAATCAGCATGGGCACGCGGCTCACTTCTCTCCTCCACCGGCCATGGATCCCTTTGTCCTGACTACCTGCCCCTCTTCCCCCCTGTAACCATGAATTAGTCTTAGAGTGTACCAGTTTATTTTTATTGAATTTAGTCCATCCGTTTGTTTATTTTCTCTATATATTACCTACGAGTGAAATCATATGTGCTTGTTTTTCTCTGTCTGACTTAGTTCACTAAGTATAATTCCCTTGAGGCCTCATGTTGTTGCATAGGGCAGATTTTCATCCTTTAAAAAAAAAAGTAATTGAGTCATGTTCTAGTGTGTCTGTGGACCTCCTCATCTTCTTTATCTGTCCCTCAGTCAATGGGCATTTAGGTTGTTTCCAGCTCTTGGCTCTTGGAATTCATGCTGCGATAAGCCTGAGAGTATATACCCTTTCAAACTAGTGCTTTTACATTTTTTACTGCTTTCTATAATGACAGCACCTGCCCATAGTGTGAAGGGCTCCTTTCTCTTCACCATATCTTCCCCACCATTTGTTTTTAAGACAGATGGATGTAATTGGAGGGGAAAAAAAAATAGGGCACTTGTTGTTTGAGACTAGGGCTTGAAAAAATTTAGGCTGGGGGAGAATGCACATGTCAGATAGGATTAGAAAAATCATGATCAAGTTAACCCTCTTGCAAGGCAGCTTGGGATCCCTATTGCAGGGACCTTGCTGTGTCTGGAGAGGGTGGGAACGCAAGGTCAGAGGATTGTGTGCTGGTTGAACTGGGCAGATGTCTTCTCTCTTGCTCGACCTTCTCTAAGGCACGATCTTAATCTGTAAAGCCCTCACATGGAGCTGTTTTATTATCTGTGGAGAGAAAAGTTCATGGATGCTCAGGAAGGGGCTTTGTAGCTGTGAGTGGGAGCAGGGGTGCGCCTGAGGAAGCACCACCACCACACCACCACACAAGCCAAGCAGGACAGACCAGCGCCAGGAGTCCGTACTCAGGCCCAGGACGCATTTTAGTGTCCAGATGCTGCTGTCACTTGTCCTTGCTGTCAGCTCCAAACCCTGCTCCTACCCAGAGGTCTCAAGATGTTGGGATTTTCTGGCACCTCCCTGCCTTGTTCACAGACACACCTCAGAGACAGTGTTGGTCCCAGATCACACTAAAACAATTATGGCAATGCACGGGTCTCCAGAATGTTTGGGTTTTCCAGTGCCTATGTAAAATGTGTTTGCGCCACACTGTCGTCTAGTCAGTGTGCAACATCATCAGGTCGAGAAAACCCAAAGTTACGCTTCATTAAGAACGCCTCACTGCTTGACAGTGCTACCTTCCTCTGGGTTGTGGACCACGTGGCTGACAGACTTGCTGGGTGTAGAGCTGCCCCAGGCCTTCAGCCTGTAAAGAGCCATGGTCTGCAGACCGCAATAGAGCCGCTCAATAAAGGGAGGGGCTTGGAGAGCCGTGCACTGGAAGGCAGCCTGGAGGAGGCAGCTTCATGACTGTGCTTGGGCTGCTTATTGCAGTGTTCAAGGCAGAGGAAAAGCAGAGTCTAGTCTCCCAGACATGAAACTGTACATCTGTTTAGATAAGCAGATAGATGACACAATTATTCTGGAAGGTTCTCGTGTTCAGGCCTGGGACAGCAACACCAAGACTGGTGGCTGGAAGGTAGGGGGGGCGTCTGTCTCCTCCTGGGTCAAGTAGACACGATTCCGTCCAGGCGCGGCTCACCTGGGGATGGCACAAGGGAAGCAGTCCCTCTTTGGACTGCTGCAACTGACCCCATGAAGGTGTGGGTGTGCTCGTGGGTCTGAACACTCAGCTGGGACCAACCTTATTGGTTCTCGTGCACAGGATCTCGATGAGTATCTCCTCATCCGTGCCGAGACCCTTCACCGCCTTCCGCAGCTGCCTGGCATCATACTCGCTGGGCCGGTCCAGAAGGGCCAAGGCTGTCTTCTCGAAGTTTCCACGCAGCTCACTCTTGAGCACCTCCTCTAGGTCCTGCAGCGAGATAACGAGAGCCCTGATGAAGTTTAGACCAAGAGGAGGGAAGCAGGTATCTGCTCCCCTGAGAGTTGATGGGGGAGGGTGGGGGAAGGTGGGGGAGGGTGACAGCAGCCTCTCACAGCACCCTGTTGTTAGCAAGCATCTGTCTTCATAGATGCTTTCTGGGAAGCTCTGTTGTATTATTAGTGAACTGCCTGCTCCTACCCAAGTCCTAGGACTAGATGGTTTCACGAAGAGAGGGTCACGAATAGTCTCTCAGTGTAACCTGACTCAGTGAAGGGCTTCCACTGAATGGCGGGAGAACCCAACATGGAGGCGCCTAGACCAGCCTGCCTTTCAGGAAACCCACAGGTAGGGCTGACTTAATTTCACTGACATTAATTTCCCTCCTTGGAAAATGGGAGAATAATGACACCTCTGAGGGTTGCTGGGCGTATTAAGTGAGAAATTCACATCAAGACAGTATGGTGCCTGACATGTTTTAAATTCCAACAAATGATTCTAAAAAACACTATTTTATATGACATATAAATCATATTACATATGATATACGGTATCATATACTATGTTTATGTTATATAATAATAATAATTATTATTTTATGCTGAGAGAAGGCAAGCCAATTACTTCTCTGAGCTCTGGGTCTGGGAGAAAAACCCAGAATTTTGTCTTAAGCCCTGGGGCCTGCAGTCTTAAAAGCTGGTGGTGATCAGGAGTCTCTGTAGCTGCTCCATCTAACAACATTATGTCTCATGAAAGCTGGTTGCTGGTGTGGATCCAGCCCCCCTTTTTCAGTTCAGCTGGACATGGCATAGGGCTACAGAGAAGAGAACCCCAGCTGTCTCCTCTAAGCCACAAGCACGAAAACAAATCCTGTGTGTTTATGTTCTGTTTAGACACAGGAGCCGGTTCGGGGATCTTTCAGTTCTAACTCAAGTTTTCCTTCTTAGCATGGCCCTTAGTATGGTTGATTCCTCTCTAGGGCTCAGTTACATGGGATGTAGATGGGATGATCTCTAGTATGTTGGAGCTTCATGATCTGTGACTTAGACTTCCTTAGCAATGTCAGCTTTTCCTGAGAACAGGAAAGAAAGCCCGTGCTTGGCCAGGGCAGGTATTGAGGAGTACTCAAACCCACCTGCTCCTATTTTGCCCTGAAGGCTAAGAAGCCTGGGTCTTTCTGTATCAGTGGGGCGGAAGTGGACATAGGACTCGAGACGCTGCTAAGAGCAGGCACCCGGCGAAATGAAACAACCAATGAAATGCATCTGAGGATTCACTGGTTTCATCATTGTCCTCAGTGAGCAACACCGACAAACTTGGTCATGAGGAAGGAGCAGGCAAACTCTAAGTGCACAGGCATCTGAGCCAGCTAGTGTATAAACAAAGAGGTACCCTGAGGTGGGGGCTCAGAAGACTGGGACTTGGGTGCTGGTTCTTTCTTACTCAGTGATTTTGCATAAGTCATTTTACCAAATGAGCTTTTCCTTTCTGGGAAGTGGAAACATTCTTATTCTTTCTCTTTACTGGGATGTTCTGGAAATTTCCTGCTTGACTCTCCTCACAATCTGAGAACAGGCTATCATTTTCAACTTATTTGTGAGCATGTTACCTGGGTAACATCAAATAAGTGAGTAAACCCATCTCTGTTTCTAGTTTTATATAGAGAGGGATTGAAGGCCCCGAGACCAGGCTTTGTAAAGATGGGCTAGACTACAGCATAATGATTTCATGTTCTTTTCATAGAAAGCCTAATGCAAACTTAAAGATTTCTACATATAACAGCATTATCAAAACCCAAAAGAATGAAAGAAAAAAAATACAGAGAAAGGAATATATGTTCAATGAATTTTTAAAAGGTTTTGAGAAAAATCACTTATGAAGAATATATCATCCTTGAAGAAAAATAGACAAGTGAAGAATTGCTCTAGAAAGACCCACCTCTGAAAATGGATTTGCAAATCACTGGCCTATAAGTTAGTAAGTTAGTAAGCAGCATGCATTCAAATGAGTACAAGAAAATGACTAAGGGATTAACGGAAAATTGAAATCAAATTTTAAAATAAAGAGTTAAAGAATATAGACTTTATAGTCTAATTAAATTAACTAAGGAATTTCAATTTTTCTGAAGTCAATTAAACTTTTAAATAGTTGTTTCACTTTTTTTTCCCCTCTCAAGCTAACACAATAACCTCATAGTTCATTCCTCTCTGCCTTGGGGATGGAGAAGAAACAGTGACATCCCATTTGTCCAGGACCCTTGGAATCACCTTGCCATAAGCTGCTTTGTAGTTCTGCTTTATTTTTTGCCTCTCTTCTGATGTCCTGCTTGATAGAATATCAATGATGGCTGCTTCATCTGTTCCTAAAGAGCAGGAGAAAGAATACAGTCAATGGAGTACTGTACAGCCATGAAGAAAGATGCATGACTCCACCAAACTGGAAAGTCCAGTCACAATTGGGGACTCATTGTCCTTTTCCTCCCTTTGGTACTGCTGCCATCTGTCCCACCTACTGGACATCTCTTCTCTCTTCATTCTACTGCCCTGCTGAGTAGGTGCTGCTGGACTTCAGTCTCCTAGTAACCAGTCTGTGCTGTCTGCCATCAGAATCTTCATTTGGAGGCACATATTTGCTTACTTTACTCCTTAAAGTGCCTTTAGTGCTTCTTTTTTTTTTTTTAAAGATTTATTTATTTATGCATACTGCACTGGGGTATAGGCCAGAGGTGCAGGTGTGGTGAGAGGATTCACCAGAGGCAGAGTGGGGAGCAGCACAGGCTGACTGAGAAGTACACTGCTGAGGGGAGCAGCGGGCGGGTCAGGAGAGGTCTGCCGCGCCATGTGGTCACCTCCGGGGCAGGTGGGGATCGAACTCATGAAGAAGTGGCTTTAGCTACCCAGTGCTGTGCTTTAACCCTCTGTGCCACCAGGGAGGGCTCCCTTTAGTGCTTCTTACACATTAAATTATAACTCCTTACTCTGGGATTAACACTTTTGCAGTGGGCTTTCAACTATTCTTCTAGACCTGCGCATGTCCACGGCCCTACTCCTATTTGTCGGCATGCAAGCACTTTTATAAATCTTGATGCATTACGTTTCTGCTCTCTCTGCTCTTCCATGGAACATGATTCGATAGCTCTAGAATTGCTGAGGTGATTGAGATTGCAGGTCACAGTCTGAACCGGGGTCGCAGGGAGTGGTCACTAAATGGTACTGTGGGTTGCTAGGGAGCTGCCTGCTCGTTGTGGTCTTCCTTGGGTTAGAGCCTGTGTGGGTCACGTTTGTCCATAAGATGCGGTTCTTCATAAGTAACACCACACAGAGTAACACAGGGAGTGGCTCATAGAAGGCAACTGCTCCCTCGCAGCCCCACCCCCAGGTGTCAGAAGCACTGGTGTGGTTTGAGAAGCACAGCCAGCGGCATCAGCTGGCGAGCTGGGTCCAGGGCTGTCCAGCACTGGAGCAGATGTGCTGAGCAAGCCCTTGAAATGGGGCCAGTCTGAGTTGAAATCTACTACTGGTGTAAAATGCATACAGATTTCAAAAACTTTTTTTTAAGAGTGTAAAATATCTCAATGACTATATTAATTACCTGTTGAGTGGTTATTATGTTGGATTAATACAATGTATTGTTAAAGTTAGGTTTACATCTTTCTTTTCTTTTTTTAAAGATTTATTTATGTATGTATGCAGAGCTGGGGTACAGGCCAGAGGTGCAGGGACGGTGAGAAAATTCACCAGAGACAGAGTGGGGAGTAGACCAGGCTGACTGACAAAGAACACTGCTGAGGGGAGCAGCGGGCGGGCCAGGAGAGGTCTGCCGCGCCATGTGGATCTCCTCCAGGGCCAGGGATCGGACTCGCACTGAAGCTGCTGCGGCTGGCTTGCAGTGCTGCGTCCTAACCTGCTGTGCTACCAGGTAGGGCATCATCTTTCTTCTCTTTAAATGTGGCTTCTAGAAAAATTGAAGTTCATTTGGTGGCTTCTATTCTATTTCCATTGGATGGCATTGCCTGGGGTCTCATCTTTACCTCCAGGGGATGGAGGTGGTGACAATCTTAACCTCGTAAGACTATGAGGCGTGAGCTGCGAGACTGAGATCTAAATGCAGATGCTAGGAAGGCTCCCGGGCACTGAAGGGACTCGGGCAGAACCTCCCATTCTCCTCCCACTCTCCTCTGGCGTCCTGGCGCAGGGGACACCTCCTGTTTGGGTTGAATTGTGTTCCTCTGAAATGGCATGTTGAAATCCTAACCTCCAGTCCCTCCCGTCCGTGTGACCTTATTTGGAATTGTCTCTATAGAAGTAATCAAGCTAAAATGAAGTCAGTAGAGTGGGAACTAATCCAAAATGACTGCTGTCGTTATGAAAAGGGGAAATTTGAGCCTTGAGACAGACTTACACAGAGAGAGACAAGGTGAAGAGACCCAGAAAGAGTGCCCTGTGAGGATGGGGGTGGGAGGGAGCGGTGAACAAGCCAGGGTCACCTGACACTGCCAGAAGCTAGGAGAAAGGCCTGGAAAGGGGGCTTTGCTGGAGTCTTTGAGGGAACATGGCCTACTGTCTCCTTGATTTCAGACTTCTGGCCCCCAGAGTTGCGAGACAGCAATGTTCTGTGTAGCTTGTCAGCTGGTTTGTACTTTTTCATGGCAGTCCTGGGAAGCAAATACATCCCCTAGATTTCTGACACACCCAGTGCTACAACACACACCACTTCAAGAAAAGCCCTACAAGTCTCTGCAGCAGCTGTCTGGAGATCCCCCACGTTAGCTGTTCCTTGGCCTACGTGTAGTGTGTGCTCTCTGGGAAGAGCAGGTGCTTGGTGGCTTTTATGGGAACTAAAATGGCCTGTACTGATAGTTCTGATCCAGTTGATAAAGCGCCTGAAAGAACAAGAGCTGGGTAGATGCATTTGGCTGCATTTTCATAAAAGGGTTGGGACCTGGGGAAATCTGGGTAGTAAGTATGGGAGAAGCTGGAGGAAGACCTGGCTGGAGACAGGGAAGGGAGGGGGGAGGGTGCTGGCACCAGCCCTCACGGCCAGGTTTGAAAAGAGAGTGGCAGGACTCAGGAAGGCAGCTCTGAGCTGGGTTGAGAGGGCCGAGTCCTGGCTCTAGCACAAAGCCAGCCATGTGGGACTGTTCACTTAGCCTCGCGGATTAGTTCCACCTTTAAAATTCCAGGAAGGCCTAACTGTCCGATTCCAACTGGAGAAATGGAAAACGCTAAGATGAGCTCACTCTCAAAGACAGAAGCTAAGTGCTTGCCTCACTCTGTGGCATGCTAACATGGTCATTCATGTGGTTCCTCTTCATGTCCTCCTGCAGCCTCACCTACGTCATGCGTATCCAATTACTTCCTTTGTGACATTATGCCACAAAGAGACATAATGCGAGGGCCAGAAATCTCACAGGGATTTCCTTTTCTGGTAAACATCCCTTGAGTCCTCCTCTTTGCAGCGGGCTGCTCAAGCCCAGGTCTAGAACCATCACCACTCAGGCCTGGCTCCTGAAGGCGCCAGGGGGCCCTTGCCCTGTGTTGTGCCAGCCAGAAAGCTGGAATACATCCCCATGCCTTCTTTTCCTCTCACCCCATGTTCTGTCAGTCACCCCGAAGCCCTCACTACTCCACCTGCGTGGCAGCTCTCAGAGCCTCTCACCCCTCCATCCTCACCCCTTACACCCTCACACCCCGCCTCAATGCAGCCCTGCCTTGCGCTTCCTGTTCACTCTTCCCAAGATGGCCTTTGCGAGATCCACATCAGTTGTCTTCCCTGTCACCCGAACCTATCGATAAAAGTCTCTTCAAGACCAGAATAAAATCGCAACTCTCTAGTGGAGCATATGAGATCTTCTAGAGTAGCGCCTGCCTGCCCGTTAGAATGTAGTCCTCCATCATGCTCAGTGAGGTAAGCCAGAAAGAAAAAGAAAACTACTGATGGTTTCACTCTTAGGAGGAATATAGAGGATCCAAATAAGGGATCTGGGGAAAGAATAATTGTAATAAAGTAAATATCAAAATCAACAGGCAACTGTAAACCAGAGACATTCTTCAGGGAGTGAGAGAGGAATAGGATCAAAGCAGAGGAGGGAAGAGCGTGACGGACTGTGGTGATGGTGCATGTGGGTGCAGGTGGGAATCTCCTGGGGACTATTCCCGGGAGGAGAAAGCACACATTGTACAAAAATGAAAAATAATGCAAAAACATTAGACAAAATAAAAAATTAAAAAAAAAGTAAAAACTTAAAAATAAAGTTTTTCCCATCAAGCCCTCCTTCCAGGCCTCCTGTCCATGGACTCCAAGAATCACTGGCAGCTCGGAGAATGAGCAAGACCTTCACTCTTGCCGCTGGGCCTCTGCAAGGGCTGTCCTCTCTGCCTGGAGCACTTTCACCTTGGGCCCTCGCCTTCACTCTCGGCCCTGCATCAGGACTCAACAGCCTGAACTTCTTTGGAGGAAAAGAAGGTGGGACACTCCTCACCCTGCGCCTCCACGTTACCTGCTCACCTTTGAGCCAACACACTGTAAGTTCTGTGGGGGCAGGATATGCCACTCACTGTTCTGCGCATCCAGAAGGTTCTCAACATTTGCCAAGTGTATGCTTACATACATGCATTATGGAATCTTGTCTGCACATCGGTGCTGTCTGCAGGTATCACACCACTGGGCGAGAGGTAGCAGACCCCAAGAGAAAACCCCTTACTCCATACCTGGCGACTTCAGCAAAATGGAGTTAAAATCTCAAAAGTATTATTTTTAGGCATTCTAATTAGAAGCATTTTGGAACACTTCCAAAAAAGAGGCCTTAGAGCACAGCAGTCCTGGGTATCTTGGCAGCCGCCAAGGGACAGAGTGTGGAAATGACTGGATTTCCCTCAAGCCTTTGAGCCCAGGCTCAGGTTTATCCTGGGAGCCGTTCCCACTCCCCCAAGGAGAGTTTCCCGAAGAGTGATCTCATTTTACATTTCACAACGCGCGAGTCATATAAGCAGTCTGTGCTGCCCAACAGTTTCCCATAAACATTTACAATGGCTTGAGGCAGCAGGACCCGGCCTCAGTCCCCAGCGGTGGTGAGAAAGTGTTTTTCAAAATGAGAAAAGGCGGCACCTTGACCCTGCCTGTGCAAGGGACACCACCAGTTGCCAGCACAGCTCGGAGCCGCCCTGAGCAGCCCAGAGGGCCGCCTGCTGGCCTCTGCTGTCCCAGCAAATTCCTGGGGAGATACGGAGTCAGTTTGAGCAGGCAGCAACATCATTATGGTAGTTCTATTTTTAAACCTCTGAGGAACATTCATATTCTTTTACTTTATCACAGGTTGGAATTCTGGACTTTCCGCCAAATCATAGCTCTTCAAGATGGCCCTTCTTTCCAGTCACTCCACCCTCAGGTTAGGCAAAACATTCACCTCAGGGCCCAGGCACTCCATCTGGTAGGTCATTATACTCATAAAACTCTACAGGTTGTTGGGAGGATTATGCAATATGCTGTGCGTGTGCTACCCACATTAGCCCTTGGCGTAAAGGGGGCATGGGTGGTGGTGACCAGTACCATGCTTTCTTTGTGGCCATGTCCAAGAAGGGGAGAAAGACTGAGTGAGTTGGGACACCCCACCTGTGCTTGTAGAACTGAACTTGAATGGTGGCCAAGAGTGAGGGCATTTGTCATTAACTGCAGCCGAATCGCTCCCCTGTCCACTTGAACTCCTGGCTCCAACCCACAGCCAGGTGTCAGGACCTCTCTCTAGGCAGCAGGGAAGCACCTGTGAGGCCACCTCAGCCACTCTACAAAATTCAGAACTATAAACATCCTTCCACTCCTAGGCAAACATCTCTCCTGACAGCTGTTGTCCAAGTACAAGGTTAGCCAGATCAGGAAATGAACTCGGAGCTGCTTCCTTCTGCTGTTAGAACTGCTCTGAGGTCCCCAAAGAGAGCAACTTAGCTGTCATCTTTCTTCCCAGCTCTCTCTGTCTCTCTCCCTGTCTTGCATTCTCGCTCTCTGATTTACTCAAGATTACTTAATATGTCAAAGTGCCTTCTACACTTCTTACCAGATCTTCCCCAATCAACTCCTTTTGGACTTCTCTGACATTTCTAGGGAAAGTTATTCTAACGTTAGCTGTTCCCTATATTAAGGAAAATAGCTCTTAGAATTTTCACCATGATTTGCAATTACTTCCACTGGAGTCACACAAGGAATTTATGATCATATTTTTTTTTCTACCAAAATACCAACTTCTATGAGGTTTGATCTATAGAATTGCATTAAAAATACGTGACTGTAAAATAAATTTAAAAATAAAAGATCTGTGGGGTCAAACGGCTCCCAGAGTTGTTGCCAGCACGGGCCCAAGCTGCCCTAGTCCCAGATTCTCCCTTCACTACGCAGAGGACATGGTACATTTGTGTGTGGCTGAGGGGGCTCAGTGTGAGGTCTTCACATTTTGGCATTTGGAGGGAGCAGGAGAGGGTAGAGAGAGAGAGAGAGGTGAGATCGAGAACACAAAGGGTGTTGTAGGTGGAGAAAGAGAAGACACTCCCGTCTGGTAACCTGATGTTTCCCAGTGGGAGGAAGGCAAGGTTATCTGTGTGTTTGTGTCCAGAAGCTTCAGCAGTCACCTCCATGAGTCCCAGAGCCTTTCTCAGGGGCTTGGTCCCATATGCTGTCTCCCTCTTCCGCCCTTGTTACTGATTCATCTTTCTACTGATTTCTTAGTCTCTCATTCTTTTCTTTTTTTCATTTATTCTAAATGTTTATGTATTCAAGAGTTGGGGTACAGGCCAGAGATGGGGGTTGGTGAGAGGATTCACCAGAGACAGAGTGGGGAACAGGCGATTGATTAATACTTATTATTAAATATAATTGAGGGGAGCAGTGGGTGACACAGGAGAGGTTGCTGTGCCCTGTGGTTCAGCATCCTGGCTGGGGACAGAACTTGTGCTGCTGATAGCTTCACAGTGCTGAGACTCAACACTGCAGCACCAGGGAGGCCTCTTAGTCTCTCATTCTTGACTGTGCACTTACCTCAGGCCTGGATGTAAAGAGCTTCTTCCATTTGGGTTCTTGATTCTTGACCTTGGTCATGATTTTAACTTCACTTAATCTATTTCTAGATTCAGTTTTCTGGTCCCTGAGCCAGTTCTCAACAAACATGACACCTCAAAGAATTGGAGAGGTTTAGAAGACTTTAAAGTGGTAAAAACTGAACTTCTCATGAAGTTTTCCCCACCTAGAGGTCAAGGGGAATGTATAGAATCCCTAGAAATACCCACTTTCTGGTGACTGTATTGAATCCTGAAAAATAACTTTGGGAAAATTACAAAGAGAACCTCAGCTTGGAATACACAAGAAAAGTGAGAGGTCCTTTCCCTAAGATCGCAGGAAAGCTGACGTGACAAATCAGCATCAAGTGTCATTAACTTCAACAGCAAATGAACAAATAACATATCTTTCATACCCATTCCTTTGCAGGCTTTGTGCAGTTTCTTCACATCTGGATCCACATTAGAACCTTGCTGATGACTTTTCTCTTTGGCCTGAAGAAAATAAGCGACAGGTTAGTTGACAGTGAAAGCATCACTAAGTTGCTTCTGACTGAAAGTGGTAGCAGTCCTCCGAATGAAGGGCAGCGGCCACATCACACATGGACCTGTGCAGGAGTCAGCTGGGGACATGCTAGCCCTGGAGAGATGGCTGGTACCCCTCGGGGCCCTCTGGCCTGGGGTGACGACACACAAAGAGGCTCTCTGTCCTCAAGGACAGTCTGCCTGGTCAACTGTAGAATCAGCCCACCCAGGTGTGTGTCTCTGAAACAGAAACACGGGAGGCCAGTGTCCTGCAGGTCTGTCCTCCCCTTCTGTGGGGAGACACGAGTGGGAGGCTGAGTGTGTCACGCAGGCGCTCGCGTCTTCTCACAGCTAATGTTTTACCATCTTCACGTGAGACACAGTGTTGAGTTTGTTGGAGGTGAAATAGGGAGCAGGAGTAGCACAGTTACTGGTTTTTACTGCTGCTTGGGGAGAAAAAGCTCTTTCTACACAAAGCCGGGGCTTCCCATGCATCAGCTGCTGGCACAGCGTATGCACTTGTGTGTACCTGCTACTAAGTCTGTATGACTATTATTTGTTTTTACTTTTCTTTCAGCTGACTTACTTTTTTTAAGTTAGTTTTTTTTTTTAAAAAAGATTTGTTTGGACCCTCCCTGGTGGCGCAACGGGTTAAAGCACTGCACTGAGAAGCTAAAGCCACTTCCGCATGAGTTCGATTCCCGCCTGCCCCGGGGGAGACCACATGGCGTGGCAGACCTCTCCTGACCCGCCCGCTGCTCCCCTCAGCAGTGTACTTCCTCGATCTGCCTGTTCTGCTCCCCACTCTGTCTCTGGTGAAGTCTCTCACTGCCCCTGAGTCTCTGGCCTGTACCCCAGTTCTGTATGTACAAATAAATAAATCTTTAAAAAAAAAAGATTTGTTTGTTTATGCATACAAGAGTTGGGGTACAGTCCAGAGATACGGGGTTGAAAAGATTCACCAGGGACAGAGTGGGGAGCAGAAGAGGCAGATGGACTGAAACACACTGCTGAGGGGAGCAGCGGACAGGCCAGGAGAGATCTGCTGTGCCATGTGGGTCAGCTGCCTGACTGGGGATCGAATTTGTGCTGCAGTGGCTGTGGACAGCCCGCTTAAAGCTATTTTTTAATGGGCACTTTCCATTCATGGTAAAATAGGACATTTTCTATATGAAGTGAAATCAGATGCATATCATTCATTCTTCAGTTGACCAGATAGATTGTTCTTGAGAACAGAGGGCCCATTTTCTGTAGACATCCAAGGCCAGCTTGCCCCAAGGAGTATCACTTGCTCAAGCAAAAGGTAAACATAAAATTAAAGACATTGCTTATAAATGTTCAAGAGATGAGATTAATTACAGTTGTGCAACTAGCAGGTTAAACACACCCTGACTTTCTCAGTAGGCATTCTTTGCTGAAGTGTCACGTATCTCCCCTCTTTCAAGGAAGAAAGGGGAAGGCTGGTTAAAGTGCTGCTGTCTACACCACCCCAACGCCCCTTTCCCTCCCTTCATTTTCATTTTCTCTGGAACCCAGTGGGAATGAGTGATCAACCACATAAGGCTCAGAGGACACATTGCATTCAACTGCCTGGCATCCTGTTTCTTTTGGGGGACTTCCCCAGTCCCACTTCATGTGGTAGAGTTGGGGTTGTCAGGCATGAGGCTTGAGCCCCACTTCCTGCTGTCACTCTTGCCATTGTGACTGGTGCAGGAGTGGGGTCTCATCCATACAGGATCAGCTGGAGTCTTTCCTTGGTTGATGTGTAGCTGTGAGAGATGTGTCTGCCCCCAACTGACCCTGCAAAGCTATAAGTGTGGGAGTCTGGGGCTGGTGGCGACCATCTTAGCCACATTGTGAAGGGAGAAGCTTGACGCAGAGACAGGATGAAAATATGGAGCCAGAGGGAAACCTGGCATGAACCCTCACATGCAGAGTGCCTAGATCCTTTATGTCTCAGTTTTATCTGTAACTAAGAAACTAGCACTTGCTTCTAAATGAATGAGCTGGGTTTCTGCTCTTGCAACAAAAAGTGTCCTCCTTCATCCCCACGGGCTGGAGAGGGGCTGGATAATGAAGAACCGTGCATTTCTAGTGTCAAAGTGATCTGCCTTTTGGAAGTGACTGCGTGGCCCATCTTGACACATCTACTCCTGACACTAGCTGGAAGGGGCTTACATTTGCTGAGCGCCTGCCACCAGCCAGCCACATTCTTTGTTCATAGTCTGTTCTTCATTATTAGCAGGGAAGAACAGGGGTGAATAGTCTGCTTTACACAGAAGGAAACCTGCGTGCAGGCAGATTAGGGAGGCTGAATGTGATCTTACAGGACCCAGGATTATAGCCAGCTCCATCCTCCTCCTAAGGCCCAGGCACTAGGTCAGGGTTCCATCCTGCCTCGCTCTGTAATGGTGCATGAGACCCTCACATCTAGCAGAGAGGTGATAGAGCCCATTTCCTTCCAAACCTTTTGCAGCGTGTGAGAAAGTTTCCTTGTGCCTCAGAAGACTTTTGGGAGGACCAGTGATATTATTTGTGGGCTCAGTAGGAAATGAAAATGGAAGGTCACTTTTTTTTTTTTTCACCAATAAAATGGGTTTATTTGGAAACAACGAAAAGGCAAATTGGAATGTGGAGTTTATGGCGAGACACGCATGCACTTCTCTAGATAAAGCCAGCGTTCCCTTAGATTTTAGAGAGAAGGTTACTAGGCCAAAAGGAATCTCCTCCTTCCTCAGAGAAACAGCATCGCTTCCTGGTGTGAGCCATGTGGGTCCTGTACTTTGCTGATGATGCAAGTGTGGAACTTCTAAATCCCCTCTCCCCACCTCATTGAAAGTATGTATAACTTCTTACATTAACCTCTTTATTTGGAAGGTGTGAGAAGAAGCCTTTTTCTCTTTCAGCCTTGCCTTACACCTAGATAAAACGCTCATGGCAACCGGCCAGGTCAGAAAGGAGCCATATAGATTCATATGGGAGTCCTATAATATCCAGACTGTGTCTATTCTTAAAGATGTCCACACACATGGAGCTGCCTGCCTGGCTTTTGACTCAGCTGGACAGGTGTGGACCTTTTCCCATTTCTCTTTTCTTTAATAACCTTTCACAAGTCACTTAGTTTGACATGGCCATTGACTCAAGAAAGCCCATCAACTGTGCTGTGTCCACAGGCAGCTCTTTGTATCCAACGGATTTGATCCGTTTTCAGATTTGTCACACCAACTGGCCGCTCTGGAATCACCACATTTTGGGTCCTCTTAGTTTCATCATCTGATAAAATCCTTAGCCAGGAAGTTGTGAACTTACTGAACCAGTCCAGTTTACTCAGCAATTCTACTTTGTCTTCCATTCTTGGCTTCCTGTTTGGAATAAGGGTTGGACCAACTTTTCTCAGACTTCCAGCCCTGAACATCCCCTTAGCTACCTGATGTAAGGTCACTTATGCAAAAACAACAAAGAAGTTCAAGTAGGTGACATGCACACAGGAAGCCACGGGGACCCCATTTGGTTGTGCAGGCTGCTCACAGCTGAGCGCACCCTGCTTTTTGATCACATTGGTGAGGAGGATTTTCTGAATGTGGGAAATAGTACCTCAAAGGAGCAAGCAGTGTTTTTACTTTTCATTAGAAGAATCAGGGAGGGCTTGAGGTGTAAGATGGAACCAGGGTAGCAAATATCTCTGATCAACAGGCTAATCTGGGAAGCTGCTCTGCTTATCACTACAGTCTTGTCCATGGAGAGAAGTCAGTAAGTCCCGGATGATGTGTTAACTTCACAACTGAGCGTGCAAAGCAACACTGGGCTCAGTGAGTGGCTGCTGGTTGTGGCCCTGCCTCTGCGGTGCTGGGAGCTGGGGTCACACCTGCCAAGCTGTGGAAACCACATAAGTGGCCAAATAAGGATGGGTGGAGCAGGAAGATGCGGCCAATACACACAATGGACTACTACTCAGCTATCAACAAAGCTAAACTCGGGCTTGGTATCAACATAGATGAACTGGAAGGGATTCTGCTAACTGAAATAGAAGGACAGAGACAATACTAATACAGGATGGTGTCAGTTAAATATGGAATATAGAGAAACCAAGCACACAGTCAGATAAAGTCAAACTCAAAAACTAATCCTTGAAAGTTGACTATGGAACTGAGGCATCTAGAGTGGTGTTGACATTTGCGCTGAAGGAGGTTCTTGACAAATAGGACAAATAGGAGTCAGGCTAGTAAAAACAACAAAAAAGAAGATAAGAGAAAAGGTGGTTTGGAGTGGGGAAAGCCCACCCCAGGGAGCAGGGTTTGGTATTTCCTGGGTCTGTGCACTGAGTAGCCATGTCCGCGTGTCCGCTCTATCACCTACACAGCGCTGCTGTGGGGCACACGTGACTGGTCTAAAAAATACGAGCTTGATTTCTCATAGCGTTGGATGTTAGTTAGACCTTCTGGGTTCAAAATCGCTTTGCCCCTTGCTAAAGTTGCATGATCCGGGCAAGCTGATCCGTCTCTTGAAGACTTCATTGTCTCCTCTTTAAGGTGGAGATGCACCCACTCAGGGGTGGTCTGAGGTTTGGATGTCATTGGGCTTAGGACTGTGGCCATGCTGGGTTACAGTAAACTTGATGGGTGGCACGTAGGAGGGGTGACACTGAGTGATGTGAGGATGTAAAGGTCATTGGTAAACTCTGAAGTATTATCAAAATGCAATGGGAGTGGCGACTTGACTGTTTACTCTTTCTCTTATAGTTCCCTGGTTTGCTGCAGTCTACTCAGTAAATATTTGAAAGTGTTTGCTTGGTATCCAGGTTCTGAGATAGGAGAGATCTGAGGAAATGCAGAGCGAAGAGGGTGTAGGGCTGGCTGTACACTGATGTAATGAGGGCTGCTGTTTGAGCTTACATGAAATCAGGAAGAGGTCAAGGACATTAAGAATGAAGGCCAGGCGTCCCTCCCTGGTGGCACAGCAGATTAAAGCAA